CGATGCAGTATGGCTTATTCACAATGAACTCGCAGCGGTCTTTATGCGCCTCGACGAATCGCTTGTGATCCTCGGTCGTATACCAACCAATAAATATGGGCAGAAAGGACAGCAGTGCTGGTGATATCCATGTGTTTAGTATCATGATACCAACGACGCGCTTTGTCATGCTAATCGGATACTTGAGCGGCTTTACAATGGCATAGTATCTGCAAAAGTGAAGTAGAATGTGTTTGAATTCTAACAGAGATAAGTTTGCAAAGTTGATGAAAATCATTGAAAAGCGCAAATGGTACAGATGTACTGCAATCTGATTAAATGGAAAATTTCTCAATGTGAGAATGTAAATTCTTTCATTCTGATGAATGAATGAGTGTGAAGTTTGTATGAAATTAATTTGGATTGTAATTTTTTTCAAGATGCATGATAAGGTGATGTCTTGAGTTAAAATGAAATAAAATAAAATAATTATATATATTAGTTTAAGTCTCATTTGCATATTAATGTATAAATTACAAATTATTATATATATAAATTATATCAATTAATATAATATATGGTATTATTAGATAATTTATTGTTTTATTGACCAAATTTTATTTATAGATTTTATAAATGAACTAGTTGATCAATGATAAATAACATACAAACTTTTTAAATAAGTTTTAAAGAAATATATATAATTGCCATCAATTTTTCGACTATAGTCAATAGTCTTCAGTAAGCAAAAAAAATATAAACTTTATAAAAATTAATTAATTTTCAATTCATAAAATTTTAGTTGAAAAGTATATTAAAAAACGTTGGATATTGCTTTCAATATCCTGAAGGTGGCTTTCGAACTATCGACTAATTTAAAAACTTTATGTGTTTTTTTTAACATAGATTAATTAGCCCTTTCAAAGCTAATTCGAGATACAAGCTGTTAGGAGGTAGTGAGTGCACTATACATCAACCACATCACAGTCTGCACCATCATAAGGAGTTGAATGCGTAAAGACAATTTGATTGACCGAATTGCCTGTACTAAAATCCAACAAAATTGAACCATTTTTAAAGCGAATCCTTAGGGAGAATGAAAAATATATAAAATATGAGAATAACTAATGCAAATGTTATGTTCAAAGTACTCTCCATAAACGACTTCAAAGTCTATATTGACTGTAAACAAGTTTGAGGTTATGTCAAGTGTTTGATTGGATTGGATAATTGGATGAGAATTGTCATATATTGTTATATATATTGGGTCTACTATATTTTTTTCAATGTATTAAAAAATCTAAACAAAACTAACGTTTGTCAAATTATAACCGAGCTATTCCCAAACAAGTGGCGGTGAGTGATCCAAAATTGCTTGAAAAATATAGTATAGTAGTATATAATGATCTGTGGAATATAATTAAGTAGTATTGTTTTCCACACTTCATTGTCATGACGTGTAATATTTGTAAGAAGTACAATTACTTGCTTATTGCTATATACAAGTAATATATTGGAATGAGAATTTGACCGAAATCTTACTCAGTACTGTATTTAAGTGTTGAAAGAGACAAGGTTATCCATTAACCCCGTATTATAATTTTTATCATTTGCAACACTTTCTTTGCAAGCTATATACATTAAAATCTAAAAGTATGTGAATTTAAGCCATTAATGTAAAACTGTTGGGGATGGATTTGTTAGTCTTAATGACATATAGAATGATATAAAACAGACAAAGGAATTCATGACTAATATGAAGTTTATTGGTATAGATAGATTATAGAGAATTTCAATAGATAAATATTTTTAAAACATCATAGTTAAATAACCTGCAAGCTACCACAATAAATCTTTATAATAAAATATTCTTCAGAACTTTCTTTTCATTCAATATACAAAATTATTATAGGATAGAAAAATTATTAACGCAATATTGGTGAAGTAAGTAGAGTTTCAAAAGAAAGAGACCTTATTGGAAAAGGCTACCAAGACTATCACAATTTAAAATGCTTTTAGGGACTTACAACCTAAAACGCTTACTATCTTTTATTAAAGAAATCCGACTTGCAGAAACACTCTAATTCGACTAAGGGGCAATAGGTCGCAATAGATCTTTTAGTAACAATATGTAGAGATTCAATAGATAAATATTTTTAAAACATCATAATAAAATAACCAGACCAGCTATCATAATAATATTGGTTCAAGACATATATATATATATATATATTTATTTTAATACATTAAAACAAATTTTTTTTTATTAAAATTTGCAAATTACCTATCTACTGATATGCAGCACAGGTGCAATATGCTCGCTGTTGAGAAGTAAACATCCAAACTGTTCCATAAATCGCACAAGAACGGACTAAATAGCCAACTGCAATGAAGAAAACAAATAAAATTTGTATAAAATTGTAAAAACTATATAATTTTATTTATAATATTATATTAGAAATAATTTTTGAAGCCATTAGTATCAATTTACATTACTCAAAATCACATTAGTCGCAGATAAGAGCTTTTAAAATTTAAAGAACCTAAAAGTACGTTTTACCTTAAAACCTTAAAAGGCTGAGACTCCATCAAATAGGCTTACAATTTCTTTTTTTTATTGGATAAAAACTTGATTCCCAAATGTAAACTTTCGACAACATTCTTTCGAATGGAAAATTATTCGAATCGTTTTTGGCAACAGGCACGATTTGCAAATGCATTGAAAGTTGTGCTTCGCATTGATTCTGCAGTCTTTCATGGCTGAAAGTGCAAATAATGATTTCCAAATTGCAAAGCAGCAGAGTAAAATCGAAAAATGGCATTTTAGTCTAGGCATAGAGCATGGAGCATGGAGCACAGTTCGCAGGATAAAAGGCGCAAGGCACAGGGCTCTTGGCACACCCACCAATCAAGCCCATTACTCACACTACCCACTGTGACCCAATTAAAACTCATTTTAAATTATGTCAATTTATTTATTTCTTGTTACTTTTTTCCTTTATTTTTACTATTTTTTTTCCTTTTTGTTTGCACATTACGAGCTCATAGCTTTTTAGGCGAAATTTATTAACAGCGCAGGATTTGGCGACATTTTGCCTATTTTTTCGTCGTCGATGTTCGAAGGAAGTTTGCAAAACTTTTGTTAGGCAAATGAGGCATGGCACCTGGCCCAACTGATACTGTCCTATTTTATTCATTACTTTTTATAAATTGGCACTGTTGATTATGCAATGAGCCAATGGGGCACTGTGGCACTCTGGCACTATGGAAATGTGGCTATGAGAACGTCGAGGGGTGCTGCGAAATTTGCCTGCGAGTGAAAAGTTACTAAATGAAATGATTATGATATTGTTTGGAAAATATATCTGAGAAGCGGAGTAAAAAATATGAAACCTTGCAGTAATAAGTTCACTTCAGCTGAGGCAAAAGTTTTTCCTAATGCATAAAGTTACAAGTTGTTGGGTTTTATTTTTGCTACTCTTGCCTGCGTTTTTGCTGCTTTTTTGCTGCTCTTTGCTTAGCCGATAAAATCGCATCCTAATTAAGAAAAAAAACTTTAAAATAACATTATTTTTGAAAAAGGATAAAAATTGTTTTGTGGTTAATGGTAGGAGGTACATATTTATAATTCCCACTTATCTTGCTTTGGTACGCAAAACTTTTATTCATTAAAAACCATTTTAAAAGTTCTCGAGTTTATTTTTTGCTCACAAAAAGGATATGAAAAACCAATTTACTTTAAGTGTTGTGTGGTTGAGGTTTGTTTTTCCCCTTATTTTCCTCATCTTTCCCATTTTGCACTGTTGCCAACCTCAAACAATAGTTCATTTGCTTGAGTTTTATTTTTAAATAATTATGTTGCATTAGAGGCAGGTGCGTTTAGACTTTAAATAAAATTGGTTATCGTGTGTTGTCTTTTATACTCACAATGAACTTCAGTAATTTATTTTCCAAATTTATCATTAAATTATCAAATTTCTTCAGGCATTTTCGTATAAAAATCATTAACAAAAATAAATATTTTTTTTTATTATTAAGGATATCAAGTGAGAATTACAGTAAATGCAACAATTAACGTTAAAGTAACTTTATATGGCTTATTCGCAAAATATATTTATTGGATTTTGTAATTAATTACTTCGAAGTTTAGTTGTTGATAAGTTGGAAGATTGCTTAAGGTATTGTTTCCAAGAATTATGCTGAGTTTAATTGTTTTTCTTATAAGAAATATGAATATAATCTAGATAATCTCGAAAATCTTCAAGTGATAAGCAATTTAGGTAATTAAAATTAAATTGTAAATAGTGTAAAATAAAGTATTCATGAAATATAAATACATTGCTTATTATTGTTTATAATAAATTATGTGTACAAAGTTGCATTCGAATAGCATACGACTAAAAACTAGGAAGATCAGTTTAAACTGAAATCGGAAACCGGATAATCGGGCTTGGGTGTGTAAACTCAACTCATCAAGCAGCGTTACAAAAATTCTGACAAACTTAATCTTTGCCATATATTAAGGATTTGTCAAGAAAAAAACCCCATTTACACTATTATGTGTGAAGGGAAACTCATGCGTCACGTAATTTCATCGCTACTTAGAATATGTCAGATCTGTCGAATGCTCATATAACTTGGAGAATAGCAGCAAAGATGGGGCCAGTCCTCTGGAACGCTAGACCTATGCACTCATTCTCAACATTAAAGAATGGGCGATAAGAAAACTATTTGAAGTGGACTACAACCTGACTCAAATATTGAGAGATCATGCAAGGTTTTTAGAATATCTTTAGAGAATTCAGCTGGTAGTTAGTCCAAACTACCCAAGCTGCCACAACGTCGCTGAAAGCATAGATCATGTAGTTTTTCGTTGCGACAACTTTAAGGAGAACGAGACCTACTAGTAGAGACTCTAGGAGTGCTAGCAGCATTGAGCATGAAATGTGTTCAAGCAGTTTTAAATGGAAGTCGGTGAAAACGTTTGAAACGAAATTATGCGGCACCGTAAAAATAACAGCTAAAATGTGACACAATTGGAAGGACGACAAATGAAAATACAAAAGCTGAAAATGTAGTTAATGAATTGATGACGAAAAAGTAATATTTGAATTTCGTGCTCTCGACGGACTCTTGACATACCAAATCGATGATCCCGAAATTGTAAAACGTCGGACATCGGGGTGATTTTGATGGGTTAAAGTCTCATACTGCTTACGCTTTCGATTGCTTTACATTTCGTTAAAAAAAGAAAGATCATATAATCATGCAATTGAATAAATATTAAAATTAAGTAACATGACGATATTGATATACTATACTTCAGTGAATTAATATCCAAGGGCTTAGTTAAGGCGTGAGAACGGGAAAAGAAATATGCTTGGAGCAGTAGTTGGAGAAGGAATTGGAAGAAGTAGACCATGTCTCTGGTGGGGTGATCAAGTCGAGCAAGCACTAATCGCACTTGATCAACGAGGCCAGTAAGGTACATACGCAGCAGATTCACCAAAAAAATCATACTGCATTAGTCTGAAACTGGGTAACAAGTTGTTATGGCCATTTAAGTAAGTAAGTAAGTAAGTAACATACATATTATACGTATATGTTAACGAATAAATAAGTTATTAGACAAGAAAAGATTAACAGACAGAAGTAAGTCAACATATAGAAATAAGTTAACAGCTAGAAATAAGTTAACAGTCATAAGTAAGTTAACCGCAGAACTAAGTTAACAGGCAGATATAGCTTAACAGACAAGAAATAAGTTTACATGCATAAAAAGGTTAACAGTGAACAAATAAGTTAACAGACTAAGTAGTATTAACATAAACTGTTAATTTAAAGAAAAACTGCATTTGTGATCATAAAAATGTTATCTAGTTTGCAATATTACGTATATAATTACTCAAAAACTTATTTTACAATTTAATTTTAATATATTTAAAAATTCTAGTGCAAATATTAAAACAAATACAAATATAAATTATTTTATGTAAAATTATTTGACACGTAAAACTAATTATATGCATTCTTGAACAAAATTAAAATCCTAAAATAAATAAACTACATCTCGCATGCTTTAATAATATGTATATAAAAGAGTATTAAATGGCAGAACAACTTCATTTGCTCCGCAATGAAAACATTTAAATAGTCCTTCAACCTATTTGCCAGTTTAATTTGCTTTTGCTAAAAGTCTTTGGTAATTAAACGTTTTTATTGCACGGCGCCTGCAGCAGAGTTGAGTTAAAAATCATAAATTCGTTAGACGACTTTGTGCACAAAACCCATTTACACGACGAGGAGAGGCGGCGAAAGGAGCGAGGAGCAAAGGATAAGCGAGCTAATATCCTTAAAAAAGTGATATGGCAACTACGTGGCAAATGTAAACATTAAATGAAATAGTCGAAAACAAGTGGAAAAACTTTACCGCACAAATAAAATGCTTTAGCACATAATCAAAAAATTGCTTGTCTGCAGTGAAAATAAAAATAAAAAATAAAAAATAAAAATAGAAAAATTAAAAATAAAAAACAAAAACCAAAATTTAAAACTTTATTTTGGCGTGTTTAATCCGTGTAAGCCATTAAAAATTGAAAAACCAAAATAAAAACCGAATAGTTTGTTTCACACATTTACCAATAGTCCCACCAATCCCTTTGCAATGCAGGTTGCAGGGCGGGAAGGAGCACTAAGCCACCATTGCAAGGGCTCAGCTGATAAAAAGTTTTAATTCATTTTACATGCTCTTTTGCCTCGCTACGTTTTGGAGCGGTCATGCCAGAATAGTCAAATAGGAAAAATTAATCAGACTTAAGGGGACTATGGATTGGTATTCCATATTATAGAATTCCTTTGTTCTTTGAGGCAATTTTCAATTACTTCCACAAAAATTTGCGCTTATTGAGACTTTGTATTAAAAATACAAAAAACGTCTAAAAAAACATTTAAAACATTAATTAAAATATCTTTATTGAATTATTATTTTCAGTTTAATTCTCTTTCTTATTTTTAAAATAAAATTTATATAAACAAAATTTAATGTAAAATTAAAACAAAAGAGACAGAAGTTTTAAACCCATTGAAACAAAATAATATAAAATTATTTCAATTAAACTGATAGATCCTTTCAAATTGTGAATAAATATATTTAATGTAATATATAATTTTTTTACTACTTGATTGTAGCAGAAATAGAGACATCAAAATTATCCTGTATTTTCAGTACTTCAGAATATGAAAGTTAAAACAGCCCGGAACCAAAATTCAATTAAAGAATTCATATTAGTTGCCAATAAACGGAGCATTTTAGTTTGTATTTAGAGTTTTTGACATAATAGTATCCCTTAATTGAAATATCCATATCACATACTCAGTCACACG